GAGCCCTTTATAGTTGCCATCATAATGGAAAATAATAAAATATAATATATGTATTCATATTATATATTATTATATTATTATATTATATTATATTATACTATACTATGTTATATTATATTATATTCAAATTATATTATACTCTTCTTTTATCTATGATTATATTTATACTTGATTTTTACTTTTATACTTGTTTATATATATATTTGCCATCAAGATCTAGTATAAATCTTTAGTGTATGTTTAGTGTCATATTTATTCACGATCTAAGAAATTATTTTTTAATAGTTACTAATTAATTATTTCTTATCGCTGTTCAATGTCAATAACATACTATTACAATATAATAAATTCATATTTATTTATGTGTATGAAATTTGAATCGCCCGCCAAAGCTAGTGTCAAACAAGTCTAGTTTGACATACAATGTCCTGAAGTTCGCGCTGATTATAATCTTTTCATGCACGTTTTTTGAATAGTTTTAAGTTAGTGATAAATAAATAATAACAAAATGTTTATACATTCTGTGAAAGTTCATCGTGTTTATAAAACTGCTGCAAAATTATAAAGCAGGTCTTAGAAGATGGCAAAGGTGTCAAACAATTATTATTCGAGCAAACCCACGTCGTAAGTAGTAAACATTCGAACCTAACTTTTTGTCAGAGCATGTGACTCTGTTTGTATATAAATTAGAAAACGCAGGTATGTATATATTTTTTTATTTATTTCAGAATATCAAAACTTTGAATGCTTTAGTTTTTGAGACCTTAAAACATGCTAGAGTTTTGGATATATTGATACAAAGAACGAGTATTTTGTTCAATGAACCTAGGTTAGATCCTTGGTTAGCTAGAGTGCTTATGACAGAATTATTATGGGGCAAAAAAGACAAATTAGTCTCGGACGCTAAGCCCGTTAAAACAATATTAACCTACAGCAAAAAATTTCAAGCAGTCTTGAGAGATCTTTCAACTGGAATGCCCGAACAACTTAAAGAAGGTAATTCATATATTCTTGTTTGTTGCAGATCGTTACAATATGGAAACTAGCACCACTGAGAATGAGACCACGGAATTGCCTAGATTTAGGACCCCTGCACATTCCAAACAAGCTACTTGGGCTATGTTCTATTTATTTATATACAGTGTCCTGATGTTTACATTCCCATTTGCTGCATTTTTTGGCACGAGACATTATTTAGCAGAGCATTTGCATATTGTAGGATTTACTAATACGGCTTGTTCTGTATTAACAGCCGTTATAGCAGCAAATGCAGTTATTATAGCCTATGCGTATAGAGCATATCATGAAAAAGAGTATGATGAAGAAGGAAAAGAAATCGACCAAAGTGTTATTCCTGAACCCCCTAAACCCAAAGACGAATAATTAATTTATAGTTTTGATTAAATTTAGTATTCTGTTTGTGTGAAAGTTTTCTGTATACATGTGAAATATATTTCTTTTTCTCAATAATTTGGTTTCTCATATGTAAAGATACTACTGGAAAATTTAATTTAATTACATTTTATTTTATATAATTATTTTTGTAATAAAACGTGAAACGATTAGGTTGGCAACTAAGTAATTGCGGTGTTAACACTCAGATGGTTTCAATTGAATTTTTAGATTTGCTGACGTAGTTCAAATGTAAAATACCTTTCGTTGATGGATAGTAAGCAATTAGATATCACTGGTAAAAAGAGTTTTTTGACTGATTGTGTTTTTGTTTGGCATTGGAAAATGAATTATATTTTGCTCTTTCATTTCTGCAAATGTAAAAAAAAAGACATCTTAAACTCACAAAAACTTACTAGCAAGTTATGGTCACGAAAGCTTAAAAAAATTTCAGTGTCAAAATTGGTTTGCCAGATTTCTTTCTGGTGATTTTTGTACTCAAAGATGAAAAACAGTCTGATCATCCGGCTGAACTTGATTACAAAGGAATTGTCTACTATCCACTCAATTGATCAATTCTGATGTCTGTATGGAACAACTAACGAAATTAAACAACAAGAAAAGCAGCCTTAATTAACAAATCAAAGTGGTGGTTTATTCCATTATCACATGTCTTTGGCTATTCAGCAAAAATAATTGAACTCTCGTTAGAGTGTTTTGTTACATCCTCTGTATATTTTATACAGTTCTGACCTTTCAACCTCTGATTACTTTTTCGTTCGATCTTAACAAAACCCTTTGAGTGGTGAACAATTTTATGGTGTTATATTGTACCCGATCCAGTTTTTGGCTAATGAAAATCTGATAGTGTAAGATAATGATACTGCTTGAAAGATGACAAAAAGTTATTGATCAAAATGGGCAATTCATTACAAAATAAAGTTATTTAGTTCCATGAAAATAATATTTTTGATTTTCTAACAAAAATCCAAAGTTACTTGGTTGCCAATCTAATACAAAAGTAGTTGTATATTTTGTTTTTTTTAAAACATGTTTTGAATTAATGTAAAATCCATACTATAGAAAATTGATGAACCAGTCTAAATTGTTAGAAGTAAGTTTTTGAGTTTACTTGAATTTTATTTGAATTGAAATGCAAATGTATCGAATTAACTACTTTTACATATATCAATTATTTTCTTATAACAAAACATGTAATGATTTCAAAATAAAAAATGAAAAATATTTTGTTTTGAACATTTAACATCTATTTCCATTGTCATTTATTAACAGCATTATCGACTGATAAAAAACTGCCAGAACTCTATCATCCAAGATATGTAAGGGTCAATACTCTGACTCTGACGATGCAAGAAGCAATAGATGGCTTTAGGGACGAAGGATGGACTTTGATTCGGCATAACATCGATTGGACTTACAGAGATTTTTTAAAAGTGGTTTTAGAACTACCAGCTGAACATTTCATACCGGACTTTCATATACCCGAACTGCTTGTGTTTCCGCCTGATACACAATTTCATGATTATCAATGCTATTTACAAGGACACATTGTTTTACAAGACAAGGTGATTTAAAAATATTCCTTATCATAATATATATAATATATTCTATAATTATATAAATATATAATTATTATTTCTATATTTATATAATGAATATGTAATATTATAAAATAAGCATGAATTATCTAATTTGTGCATTAATTTAATTATAGATCATATCATCATTAGATGATTTTATTATATTGTAATTATTACTGATTATTAATGCATATTATTTTCTTAGGCCTCATGCATGGCTGCACATATGTTAGCACCTGAACCTGGTTCAAATGTCTTAGATATGTGTGCTGCTCCAGGAATGAAAACTACCCATTTAGCAGCGATAGTTGGAAATAAGGGAACAATTTATGCAATTGAAAAAGATACACGAAGGCATGGTGTTCTGTCTGATATTGTTCAAGCAACCAATTCAACTTGTGTGAAAACTATAAATGAAGACGCTCTTAAAATTACTGATGAGCAATGTCCAGACATTGAATACATTTTAGTTGACCCTAGTTGTTCAGGCACAGGTAATTATGGTTATATATATATATACAAATTTGACTTCCTCAGTGGATAAAAAAAAGCTAATTTGACAAAAAACAAACATTTTCAGTGAAAATAATACTTCAACAACAATCATGTTAGTGAAAAAGAATTAAGAATATTTGATTTGAAAGATGAAGTCATTATTTTTTTGTAAAATGAAATCATTATGTTTTCGTTCCTAATTAAATTTATTCTGCAATCTATTAGATAAACAATGAGCACAGTTTGTTAATAATATAAAAATGGAATAACATTGGGTTATTATAGATATCATTTGATATATGTTTTGAGGATTTTATTATAGATATTCCCAGCAGTGAATCTATTAGTAGTATAATCAAAATAATAATGTTGTTTTTCATAATATAATGTTTGTTTTAGGTATGTTAGGTCGCATAGAAACCGCCGCTCCAACCATTCAAGATAAGAGATTAGAAAGATTAGCTGGTTTTCAAATTCTAATATTAAGGAGAGCTTTGACTGCTTTTCCCAAAGCTAAAAGAGTTTTATATTCAACATGTTCGACACATACTCAAGAAAATGAACAAGTTGTGAAAGAAGTAAGAATCATATAGTTTTTACATTCTTGCTATAATACATACATAGGTTTTTTAAAGTATATTGGTGCTCTTGAAACAAAACATCAATTAAAATCCATCTATATTTGATGATAAGTAGCATGAAGCACTTTTCATAGTTAAATTGTATCAAATCAATGGGGTATTCTGGTCTGGAACATGAATTTAATGCAATTTTTGAAAGACCATAAAAAACGCAAACTATATTTTTGCTATACATATATTTTTTGCAAATTATTAATTGATGTTTTGATAATATAAGAAAAAGAAAATTCAAAATAGTCATAAAGGTGATGAAGTAGGGGATCTCAAAAAATTGGCTTCTCCTGATTTCAGTCTTTCATTCGTTGAAGAAAAAATAATTATATATTATCAATCTAGAATAATGTCGCAATGGTAACAAATTAAAAAAATTTTTTTTTTTGACAATATAACGACTGTCTGAAAACTTTTATTCTTGAATTTTTTAAAAATGATAAAAACTGGAATTTGAGGATGAGCATAGTTCATACTGAAGAAAAGTCTATAAAAAAGATTCAGTAAAAAATTTCAAGTAAATCGATTTAGTATAAGAATCGATAGAAATCATGTTTGAAGTTTTGTCGAGGAAGGAAACAGAAGAGGATTATTGTGCTCAAACAGCTGTATCTCTGAAAATAATTCAAATTTTGAAAATCCCTCTTGCACACATATTCTTAAACAGCCAAACTTTGAAAATATGCAAAAAAACAAACTTTTTTTTTTTCAATTTTAGACCTGAATACCCTCTTAAATGATATTATAATTGTAATCGATTTCTTAATTTTGATAAGCTCAGTTTTATTTAAAAGTTTTTAACCTTAATGAATCAAATTAGCAATGAATCTCTAACACTACACCATGAGAAATTTTTATTTACAATCATCAATTGTTTTAGGTTCTTGAGACAACAAAGCAGTTTCGGTTAGTATCAGCTAAAGAGCTGCTGAAGAAAGAATGGCTAAGCTTCGGTTCAGATAAATACGAGGGCATTGGTGAAAATTGTCTTTACTCCAAATCAGAGGTTGATTACACTAATGGATTTTTCATAGCTGTTTTTGAAAGAATAGCTCCTCATGATGAGCGTGATGTATATGTCAAAGGAAAGAAATGGAAGGAAATAAAACAAGAACCTGAAGATGACTATGAATATGGTAACACGGATATGGTTAATTATGGCATGAGTAATAATAATATCAGAAATAATATCAAACCGGAAAATGACCAAGGGCAAAATGATGAATCAATAGATTATAATAAATCCTATATTAAAACAGAACTCAAAGAAGAAAATACTAATGATCAAAAGTTGAAATCAAAAAAGATTAAGAAAGAGAAGAGTGCTAATATTGATAAAGAAATTACTAGCAGTGATAATCAGAATATTCTGAAGAGTGAGAAGGAAAATGCTGATGAATCTAATGAAGTTATGAGTTCAAATTCAAAAATAAAAAAACCTAAAATGAATTTAGAAGAAGCAACTACTAGTGAGAGCATTTTAAATGGCTTTGTAGGTGCTAATAACGAGAATGAGGAAATAAAACAGGAAAAAATAGGTGAAGTTGATATTACAGAAACACGAAAACAGAAGAGGAAACGAAAAAAAGAAAGCAGTCATGAAGAAAATTTAATAGATAATAGTATTGATGATACTCATGGTCAACATAATGGAAATCATATTGATAGTACAATTGATGATGAAGAAAATAATCAATTACCTAAGAAGAAAAAGAAACAAAATAAAAAAACAAACAAGTTCTTGAAGAAATTTCACCTGAGAATATAGAAAATATTCAAATTGACACCCCTGATCAAAATATTGATAGTACAATTGATGATCAAGAAAATAATCATATACCAAAGAAGAGAAGAAAAAAGATAAGCACAAGTCGGTCAAAGAAGTTTCATCCATGAATAGTGAAAATAGTCAAATTGACAATGAAGTAGCATACTCTGATATACAATTAGAAAAGAAAAAGAAGCACAAAAAACATACCATCAATTCAGAAACTAATCTTGATATTACGAACAGTAGTAATACAGATTTGGTTATCAAAGATAAGAAAAGTAAATCCAAATGTTCTGTAGATAATGAAGCTAATTCAAACAATTAATTGATAGTAGTTCAGAATATACTAATAAACATAAAAAATCAAAACAAAAATCAGATAAAGATGATTTATCACCAGAAACTGTAGTATCTGAATTATGTACTGATGACACAAATAAACAAGAACAGAAGAAAAAAAAGAAAAAAGAAAAGAAATTAAAGGAAAAGTCAGAGGTCGATCAAGAATCAGAATCTTCTAAACTGATTGAAAATGACATAGTCCAAGAGAAGAAACCAAAGAAATCTAAACATCAAGATAAAGAAAAAAACTCCACAGTTTCTAATTGTGATTTGCACGAAGCTCAATTAGATAATGTATCTGTAATTCAGAAAAAGAATAAAAAATCCAAGAAACATATAGCGGAAAGTGATGAAAATCCATGTACTGATCAAATCTAGCGTATGAGGAAACCGAAGTGCCATTGAAAAAGAAAAGAAAAGAAAAAAAGAAGTCAAAATCTGAAGTGTTGTGCTGAGTGAATAGTATTACAAATTGAGAATAATCAAGTCGGATCTGATGAATTTGAATACACCACCATAACAAACAATACTCAGAATGAAATATTAATGAAGATTATATATGAATTCTTTTGTTTTTATTATATTGTTATGACGATTTTTATGTTACGAATAAATCTGTTCTAATTAGAATTTTTTTTATTCAAAATAATTGGTATACTAGCAGACA